ACTCCCATCTGATAGAGCTGGACTTGAGTAAAAATGACGTGCGGGATTCAGGAGTGAAGCTGCTCTGTGACGGACTGAAGAGCCCAAACTCTCAGCTGAAGAACCTGAGGTCTGAGCTTCAGATGTGTTTTTGTGTGTTGATGGGATACACAGGGGCGCAATGATTCACTCTTTTTCTCAATGCATTGGTTACAAATACTGCTGATGCATATGAATTGATCTTGAAACATGGATTTTTGAATCGTGAATCACTTGTTTGGGCCAATAGTTAAAATCTAATCTAATGTTAAAAATCAAATAAGTCTCACTGTCACTTTTTCTGAGCAGTGTAGGAAGCTAAGGACTGAAGATGAGGAAACTCTATAGTAAGGATGTGACAGAAGCCAAATATCTTACTCGGAAAGGCACGGAATAATAGCTTAAAAATGATTTGGAATAATAAGAAAAAATATTCTGCAGACACAGTCACTCCTCATGTTTGCTGGATAAAAGACGAACCATAGATATCAAAATGTTATACATAAACCACTACGTAATAATGAGCGCAAATCAAAAATCTGTGTATCCGTCTCTGTGCATCTCTCAATCTTTCTTAATCTTGCATCTTTCAGAAATCACAGCTTATGTTTAACATTTCATTGAATGTTTTAATCAAAACAGAACTCTCAGAACTACTGCGTGATGTAAACTGGACAATTAAACCAAACTCAAGTGACTTGTAAGAGTCATCTATTATTCTGTAATATTCAGAAGTCTAATAATACAGTCTTTAAAATAACTGTCTTGTTGTAATTAGTATGATCTATTCTAGCATCAATACGTTTCCATTGGACTAATAAAGTATCTGAACTGGATCGTTAGGGAAGTAAGGATTCAGTAGTATTTTTAATTGAGAGATCATTTGAGGATACAGTAAAAGCTAATAGTCCCTGTTTTTGGCTGGAGGAATATTTCATTTTGACAATCACACATATATATACACACATTTTGCACTTAATAACCTGAACAGAGATCTATTCGGAAGTGAATCAGGTGTGGGAGTTTTTTTAAGAATAAAAGTTCATCAAAACATCAATTAAATTAAATTCAGTTCATGTTTATTTGTATAGCGCTTTTCATAATGCATATCATTTCAAAGCATGTTTACAAAAAGTACATTTCTACATTACAATTATATTTAATCTGTGTGCGTGTGTGTATATATATATTACACGGCTCTGTGGAATACTTGATTCTGATTGGTCAGTCGTGACATTCTGAGGTGTGTTATCCCTCGATAACAACCAGTAAAAGCTGATAACTCCGGCTCATCCGGGTCACTGAAGTCGGCTGCACTCTTGCTAGGAACTTTTTTCTTGGTGGAAGCTTTGCATTTGTTTAGCTAATAAAATATTAAAACTCGATTCAAAATTGTGTACAATTATTTAATTATGTCATGCTGGTATCATGGACTCGCTCTCTCGTTTCATACAAACGCAGCTGCTGCCATTTTGCTACGATTGTTCTGTACGCTGGAATGGGCATAATTAAGTGTGAAAATAACCGAAGGATATACAGTCAAACCAAAAATTAGAGACCAGATATTATGTTTGATATTTTTTTACTAGTGGGTGCAGGACACTATAGTTCATTTATGTAAGTCAGGATAGCAAAATAAAGTGAATTGTGACATATTACACCCAAAAACTCTTCATACAGTAAAACTGATACAAATTATTCAGACCGAGTCTGGGAAAAAAAATTGAAGTTCAGGTTTGCAAAGTCTAAACGTAACTGTACTCTAAGCATCATGTGCTATAAATGTACAATTTGCATTTTTATGTTATCAAAAAAGAAAAATAAATGACGTAAATTCACTGCCTAATACAGACCTATTTTGAGCAATTTGAGCAAAATTCATAGAGAGGCAGAGCGAGGGATTTGTTACAAATGCGAGGGAAGGATGAAGGCCAATGTTGCTTTGATGTGTATGTGCCTGCCACCAATCACGTGTGACGATTCTCGCTCGAGACATAAACATCAACAGATTCAACACACGTTTAGTCAGTGACAATGCAACACTGTTTCAGGGCTAACAGATACAACAATACTAAAACTAGAAGTGTTGGAGGCTTCTGTTTCACACTATGCAGCTATCACTCATCTTGCTAAAATAGGCTAAAATATCACTGTATCATGTTTTGCTATGTTGCTTGCTATGCTATTACACATTGGGCAAAATCATTCCTTTTACTGTCCAACTAGCTTATATAACCAGACAGTAAAATGTGATTTTGTTGTAGCGTTTGGACCAATCAGACACGCAATTACTCATTATAGTTAACAGATAATCCAACAACCAGACTGGGTGCCGAGATGTCTGTGAATGACCTCCAGGCCCCTGGTTACCATGGCAACCAGGACCCCTCAGCCAGACCAGATAAACCTTACGACCTAATGGTAATGTTGAGAGCTCTCCCTCTCAGCGGACACGCACGATCACATGAGGAGCGCACTTCTGCAGTGTCAGAGAGAAAGAGAGAGCAAACACCACATCAGCACAGTCCAGCCGTCCTCTGGGGTTCATCTACTCTGACAGACTCACACAAGCCCAGACCTGCTCAGATCTCCTGCACTGCTAATAACATGATAATGAGGGGAAAGTCAACACACACACTTGAGACAAAACCTCCTGAGCATCCCGCTGCAGCATGTGAACGGATGAGCAAGCATCGGGCACCTTGCAGTCTCGGCTCCAGGCCCCCAGCACCAGGTACATGCAGGGATCTCTCTACTCACACTTACACACACTCACAATCACACTCACGCCCACACTTACACACACTCACAATCACACTCCCGCCCACACTCACACACACTCACAATCACACTCACGCCCACACTTACACACACTCACAATCACACTCCCGCCCACACTCACACACACTCACAATCACACTCACGCCCACACTTACACACATTCACAATCACACTCACGCCCACACTTACACACACACACAATCACACTCACGCCCACACTTACACACACACACTCACAATCACACTCACACCCACACTTACACACACTCACAATCACACTCACACTCACGGCCACACTTACACACACTCACAATCACACTCACGCCCACACTTACACACACTCACAATCACACTCACACTCACGGCCACACTTACACACAATCACAATCACACTCACGCCCACACTCACACACACTCAAAATCACACTCACGCCCACACTTACACACACACACACTCACACTCACGCCCACCCTTACACACACACTCACAATCACCCTCCCGCCCACACTTACACACTCTCACAATCACACTCACGCCCTCACTCACACACACTCACGCCCACCCTTACACACACACTCACAATCACCCTCCCGCCCACACTTACACACTCTCACAATCACACTCACGCCCTCACTCACACACACTCACGCCCACCCTTACACACACACTCACAATCACCCTCCCGCCCACACTTACACACTCTCACAATCACACTCACGCCCTCACTCACACACACTCACGCCCACCCTTACACACACACTCACAATCACCCTCCCGCCCACACTTACACACTCTCACAATCACACTCACGCCCTCACTCACACACACTCACGCCCACCCTTACACACACACTCACAATCACCCTCCCGCCCACACTTACACACTCTCACAATCACACTCACGCCCTCACTCACACACACTCACGCCCACCCTTACACACACACTCACAATCACCCTCCCGCCCACACTTACACACTCTCACAATCACACTCACGCCCTCACTCACACACACTCACGCCCACCCTTACACACACACTCACAATCACCCTCCCGCCCACACTTACACACTCTCACAATCACACTCACGCCCACACTTACACACTCTCACAATCACACTCACACTCACGCCCACACTTACACACACACACACACACACTCACGCCCACACTTACACACACACACTCACGCCCACACTTACACACACTCACAATCACACTCACGCCCACACTTACACACTCTCACAATCACACTCACACTCACGCCCACACTCACACACACACACTCACGCCCACACTTACACACACTCACACTCACGCCCACACTTACACTTACACACACTCACAATCACACTCACGCCCACACTTACACACTCTCACAATCACACTCACACTCACGCCCACACTCACACACACACACTCACGCCCACACTTACACACACTCACACTCACGCCCACACTTACACTTACACACACTCACAATCACACTCACGCCCACACTTACACACTCTCACAATCACACTCACACTCACGCCCACACTCACACACACACACTCACGCCCACACTTACACACACTCACACTCACGCCCACACTTACACTTACACACACTCACAATCACACTCACGCCCACACACACACGCTGAAACACAATCACACTCACACTCACTTACACTCACACACACGCACAATCACGCTCGCTCACACACACACTCATGCTCACACACACACACTCACGCACATCTCAGACTCGCTGGCGAAACACACGGGGTACGTTGCTGGACATCCGGATTTCTCACAGTTCCTGAACTTATTCTCTGCCTGATCATCATCTTCTTTGGCGCTTTCCTTCTTGTCTGCAACACAAACACACAGTCACACACACTCTCACAGGAGTCCTGTGGATGCTGCTGTCTCTCTCACCTGTGCTGCAGGTGTGCTGATGTGGCCCCGCCCACCAGAGTCCGGCCCGCCCACTGCTGCTGCTGACCGCTTCCTGCCCCGACACCGGCCACCTGCTCAACACACACACACACACACACACACACACACTCATATATATGTATAAACATATCATGTAAACACATATCAGTGTACACACACACACACACACACACACATCAGTGAGTGCACACAAACACACACACACACACACATCAGCGGACATCTCGCATGACACAAGGCATGAATGTGGTTAAATGCGTCCGCCAGCATTGATAATGATGTTTCTGTTCAACCACTCAATACTCTTAAACTAGACGAACAGTTCCTCCGTTGTTCTTGAACGAAACACATTAAATCCAGCATCGTTTATTCTGCCGCATCTGCGGGACACTCATGACCTCACTTCCGCTCTTGCGCTGGTCCACACACACCTAAACAAAGTCCCCGCCTGGACTTCTGCGCTGCTGTGTGTTCTTTTCATATGGATGCAGGACATGCAGGAACTCGCGGCTTTTATTTATTTATTTAATCATTTGCGCTGTTTGATTTTTTTCTTGCGTAATGTAAGAAACGGACATGAGAAGTTCGTCTCGAGCTGAGCAGCGTTCCGGAAGCAGCGCGCGTTACCATGGCGACCGCAGCGCGTCCTGTTGTTCTGCTGCAGGTGAGCTGATCGCATCGCTGTAGAGGCTCCGGTCATGCTGTCCAGCGCGCCGCACGCCCGCGGCTTCCTCCACAACCCCGCGCCGACCCAGCCACAGCCCCGGTGCCAGGTGCGTCTCCGCCGGTGTCCCGTGTTCCTCCGTGTTCCTCCGTGTTTGTGTCTCAGTGTGTCTCAGTGTTTGTGTCTCAGTGTGTCTCCGTGTTCCTCCCTCAGTGTGTCTCAGTGTTTGTGTCTCAGTGTGTCTCAGTGTGTCTCAGTGTTTGTGTCTCAGTGTGTCTCAGTGTGTCTCAGTGTTTGTGTCTCAGTGTGTCTCAGTGTGTCTCAGTGTTTGTGTCTCAGTGTTCCTCCGTGTTTGTGTGTCCGTGTCTGCCTCTGACTCGCCGCTGTGTTGCAGGCTGTGAGGGTCGCCGAGCTCTCTCGAGTGCTTCAGCTGCTGCAGGACCCGCTCTCGGTAAGACGCGTGTGTATGGCAAGCCGCTTTAACATTCAGTGCGTGCACTTTCTTTCTCCACGCTACTAGCACTTATTCTTTAGCTACTACTGATTATTTTTAGGATACAGGTAACTTTCTGAAGATTCTAGTCTACTTATTAATTAGATAATAGTTCTCTTATTATTTTCTAGTACTTGTTTCAATAGTGACTAGTAACGTAGACTAACCATGTTCCGTACACTTTTTGCTATTCGCCACACGTCAGCGACCACTCCTCCGTTATTGAAAGACAAACAAGCATGTTTGTGTGATCATTCTCTGGGGGAATACCCATTATACAGTCCACACTTTGATTGATGTCTTTAGGACCAATAGTTTTTGAGAAAAGTGGGGAAAAGTACCGCCTCCGCCAGTGTACGGAAGATGATAAGGGTTAACGGTGTTCCGTACAGCGCGCATAACTTGATTTTATCTGCAAAAATGGACATTTAACTGATCAACTGTCAGCTGTTTATTTATTTTAACTGAAGAAAACATTATTTAAAAGAATAAGAAAGATGAGTACCTTTTTATTTGATTAAAATGTAAGTTAATTGCTGCTTTAATAAAGGACCATACGTCATGATTGTGTCATGATATTAATTATGGCATGTGAGTTACGCATGCACCGTGTGAAACATTAGTGAATAACATTTCCATATCTTTCTGAATATAAACATCATCACTGCATGCCTGTCTCGGGTGAGAGTGGCGCTAAGTGGTCATCGCCCGCAATCGAAGTTTAAAAATTCCCATTTCTAAGCATTTTTTCAACAAAAGGTAATATATTTAACAATTTGTGATAACATGATATTCATTTCATAAAGGCTGTAGTACTGTGAGACTCATAAATTAAATAGAAATGTACATTTTCGCTGCTCTAGTAGTCTCCCCACCCAAGCTGCCGTTTTCAAGCGCAGTGGGCGCACCTAGCAAACTTACGGAAATCACACTGAAACAAACGGCGGGTGGGTCTCTGTCTTGGTCGGGGGTGAAAGAGGGAGAAATAAGGATGACACTGATATATAGTTTATGCACGACCTGGAAGTATTTATTCAGCGATCGGCGCTAAAACGTAATCTGTACAGAACATGGTTAGTCTACGTTAACTATTCTACTGTTACTAGCAACACATTTCAGTCTTTGCCCTTGACCTCGATGGGATCTGTCCTTAAGATATCAACTATGTATCAACCGGTATGCATTCCAATAGCGATTAGTGAGTGTACATTTTATTAAATACTACTATTTACTATTTACTTATTAAATGCTACTAAATATAGTATGTATTTAATAGATATTAGTAGTTATTCATTGGGTACTAGTACTGCTTTTTAGACACTAGTACCCTTTGTAATTGTTACTAGTAACAAATCTGACTAGTCACAACTGATTTGTTTTCTTGTCTTATGTTCTGACTAGTTAGAATGGCCACTGTAGAGTTCAATCAAAACATCTCACTGGTAACGCTTGGAATAAGTACTAGTACCTAATAAATATTAACTAGTATCTATTGAATACTTACTAGTAGCCAAGCAATACATACTAGTATGCAGTCAATAAGTTATAATATCTAATAAGTACTAGTATGTTATAAATAGATAGTTGTATCTGTTTAATAGGTAGAAGTATCTAATGAACAAGTACTACTGCAGTATAAGATTGTGTATTAGAATTTAGTAATAGGTATTACTATCTAAAAAAAGTACTAGTCCCTAATGAATAACTACTAGATCATAAAATATATATGCTAGTCACTACTGTAGTACATACTCGTCAGAAGTGAATAGTTGATATATTAATGACAGATCCCCATAAAGTCGATGGCAATGAAATGTCACTAGTAACAATAGAATAGTTACTAGTCTCTATTGAAATTTGAACTAGTATATGATAAATAAGTACTAGTATTTAATAAGTACTATTAAAAAGGCACTAGTAGCTAGAGAATAAGCACTGTAGCTAATGAATAAATACTAGTACTTAATGTAAAATTGACTAGTATCTAAAAATAAGTACTGGGAGCATGAAAATACATTTACGCTTTAAAGGTTAAATGTTAACGGGCTTGCCATACAGTGTGTGCTTCATCTCTCATTCAGTATTGAGCTAATTTTTAACACCTCTCTCTTGTTTCCAGTCCTCACTAAAAGAAAGGCAGATTTTTATCTTGAAGAAGGTGGTAAAACAATGCCAGCGTGGATTTGTATCCTAAAAGTTTCATGTAGATGACACTGTCATAATCATGACGACATTAAAAATGGTGTTTTAAAAGAAAAGGTGATTCACAAGCGGAAGTATATTAATGAGAGCTTTTTTTTGGCATACATTTTTTGCATTCTTTGTTTATAAAAATGTAAACAAAAGAATCATAAGATGGGGGGGAAAATTACTAATTATTATATTATATTATATTTATTATTATATTGTAGAAAAGATAAAACCCATTACCAAATCGAAATACTGGGGGTTCTAAGTACAACAAAAAAATGCACAAATTATCAGATAAAATCATAAATGTTTTGTTTAGGTGGGGCTCTGTTTATTTGTGATATACTGCAGATGCAGGACGGTGTGAGTGTGAATAATGCTTCTGCTGATGTCAGTGTGCTCTAGGATACTACAGTCCCTGATGTCTCAGTGTACAGCACTACAGTCAGCATTTTCCAGCTTCAGATATTAGCTGATGTTTGGCGTGACGCACTGCATGACGCTCTGAGAGTCTCTGTGCAATAATCCTGTGATGATGATGATGATGATGATGAAGGTGACATGATTAACACTTTCCTTAAAGTGCCCTTGTCCAGCTTTTGAGGGACCTCGCTGACATATGTAAGATTATAAATGTTTGTGCTGAAAGAGTGTCCGATCATCCGGAATATGCCCGAATCCTCTGTGATTTACTGCAGATATGCAGGTGTGATATCAGTCTTTATAGTCTTTATAGCAGACTGTGAACAGTGAACGTGAACTAATGAAATCTTCAATGCTTCGTGTCTTCAAGTCTTCCCTTCCTGAAGGAGAAGTCGTCTGATGAGATGAGCTACGCCGCTGTGGTGACAGACTGTGTGTCTCAGATGGGTGAGCATATTAACCACATGATCAGCAAGAAGATTTAAAAAAGAAGAAATTAATGCTTTCATTCATCAGTGATGCATTAAACTGATCAACAGTGACAGTGAAGACATTTATAATGTTACAAAAGATTTCTATTTCAAATAAATGCTGCTCTTTTGAACGTTCTATTCATCTGTGAATCCTGAAAAATAAAATGCATCACAGTTTCCACAAAAATATTGTGCAGCACAACTGTGTTCAACATTGATAATAATCAGAAATGTTTCTCGAGCAGCAGATCAGCATATTATACTGATTTCTGAAGATCATGTGACACTGAAGACTGGAGGAATGATGCTGAAAATACAGCTGCGCATCACAGAAATACATTACAGTTTAACAGAGATTCACATAGAAAACAGCTGTTTTACATTCTAATAATATTTCACAGTTTTTACTGTATTCTTGATCAAATAAATGCAGCCGTGGTGAGCAGAAGAGATTTTGAAACATTGAAGAATTGTAATTATTGTACACTTCTGACCAGTAATGTAAAGTCAAATAAAGAACCGTATAAAAAAGAAAATCAAAAGTAAAACGGTTTTGAATAATTTAGAATTTTGGGGTTAATGTAAAATAGTAAAATTTTACAAAAAAAAATTAAATTAATAATGTAAAAATCTAATCCTAAAATAGAGTTTGATTTCTTTATGCAAATTATAATTTCTCTTTTTGTCTTTTGTGGTGATCTGATCCCAGCTTTGGCTAAATTCAGTGTATTCCTAGATTTCTGAGTGAATTCTGGCGTTTGTGTGCACGTGTTCTCTCTCCGCTGGATGAGTGTATTCTCTCTATAATGAGTGTGTTACGACAGGTTATCTTCTCTCTATAATGAGTG